TTGCCACCCAGAGCGCCCCAGTTGCCGTGACGGTGATCACCTACATCGCGTCCAGCGGGGAAACACAGGGCCTGCTTGCAGTGCCCTGCGTGGTCGGTCAGGTGCGCTGACGCTGCACGCGGCGCAGGGGCCGTCGATCGCGCTGCCGCCGCCGAGCCCAGCTGGGCTGCACATGCTTTGCTTGCGTGCCTGCTCCGGCCGTCAGATGCCGGGAACCCGCTGTCTTGCGCTATGGCGGTGCGCCCGGGACCCTCTGAGGGGCGTGTAGAAGCGCATCTTGGCCCTCCATCCACCTCTGCACCAACCTCCCTCCCCCGTGCCCCTCGTCATGGTGATGATGTCATCATCCAATACAGCTCGTCCAGATCTTCATGGACCAGGTGACACCTTTGTGCCCGCCGCTCTTCAACGTAGCAGCGCTTGCGGCCGCTTTGTGGGCGCTTCTCTGCAACCATATGCAGCCGCCGCTGCGACTGGATTTTCCAGCCCTCTATAATGCCAGTATCCCCTGCCTCAGCGGTTTGTCACCTGGCCCAATCGTTGGGATGCCAGCCTGATGGCGCAAGCTTCGCCCTACCGCGTAGCTGCGGCCCCGCACTTGCCCTCCCCTCCGCAATTCCGCCCACCTCAACCTCATCCACCCCCTCGACTTCTGCCACCTGATCCGCAAACCCGCAGCCTATTGCCAACTACCTCGGCGGCCGCATCGCCAGATGGAACAGCGCCAATGCAACCTTGCAGCTCGCCGCGCCGCCCGGTGGCGCCCTTGCCGCCGACGCAGGCAAGGTGCCCTTGGCAGCCGGCGGCGGTGCCTCCCACGCATCGTCCGATGGCAAAGTCGTCGTGGCGCTGCCAGCCAACGGCGCTGCGGGCGCCGACGGCGCGCTCTCATCGGCCTCCCGATGACGTCAGCGGCAGCGCGACCCAGCCCCCTGACTTGGGAGGCCAAACGAAAACTAAGTCGAGAGCCTGGCGACACGTGGCGTGTGGACAGCAGGCGCTGTCCGCCGGCTCGCCCACACTTTCTCACTAACCAACCCCTTAGAGACGGCCCTTCCCCTGGTTTGGCAACGGCCGTGCCCACACTGCTGAGCGTGCCTGCGCGGGAGGTACAGACGCCTGCTGGCTGCTGCCAGGCGCAGGGTGGATGTACTGCGAACCAACTTGACCTGCATTTGCCGGTTGTCGCGCTGGGGTTTCTTTAGAGCTGGAACTGCCGGCAAGCTTTCTTCGCAGGCTCCCTGTTTTGAATTTCGCATCTGGCTGGGGCTGCCCCGTCATGCATTTTTGCAACGTAGCGCCGGACAGGGGTTGGAACCCGCCCTATAAGGGGCTGCACACGCCTGTACGTCAATGCACCGCGCAACACTGTCGCAAGAACCCAACTCGTGGCTACGCTGTTGCAGCCTCGTCAACAGCGGCGCTGCCGACAACAAGAAGGGTAGGATGGTGTGGAGCCCGCAGCTGAAATGAACTTTGAACGGCAAAGTGATGGAGTTGAGCATTGCCCCTTGTAAAATCTATGAACAAATGCAAGTGCACCAGCAAACATCACTGATGCCTGCTAGCACGCCGGTGTTGGCTCAAGCCTGTCTGTTGTCTGTGGTGCGCAGGTTGTTACGCTCGTGTGTGTGTGTGTGTGTGTGTGTGTGTGTGTGTGTGTGTGTGTGTTTTGTGTGTGTGTGTGGGAGGGGGGGGGTTGTGCGTGCGCGCGTGAAGCATGCATGTGTGTGTGCATGTTCGTTTGCTTGTGCATGCGTGTGTGCATACGCGCATGGGGGCGTATGTGTCAGTGCACGCTCACGCGTGGGGGTGTGTCTGCTCTTGTATGTGTCAGTGCATGTGGGTGCGCAAGCGCGTGCTTATCTTGTGGGCATGAGAGGGCGTGTGTACACAAGCGCATCGGTGCTTGCATGAGGGAGATGGTGAGGTACTAGATCAAGCGTTCATGTGCATACGGAAATTTTCGAATGCTTGCACACGCGTAGGCCAGCTGTTGTGCTGCCAATGGCTGTGCCACCATGCAGGATGCATGGCTGACGCGGCTTCAGGCTCCGAAAAAACATGTGCTGAAGTCCTGCTGCCGATGTTGGTTGATCAAGTGCTGCAAAACCCGTCCCGCACGCCGCACAGGCAGCCATGAGATTTGAGATGTTACACCGGCCAAGCGCCCCGCGCTTGAACCAAACCAATAAGCCCACACGGGTTGCGTTTGGGGGATGGCGGGTGCAGGCGGGGCGCGCGGGCTGCAGCTGAGCCTGGGCTCAGGCAAGCTGTCTGGCGCTCAGGCAGCCAGATGCACTTGCCGTAGGGTTGGTTCAGCTCATCAAAAGGGCGGGGTGACGCAGGGAGGGTATGCGGGAGGGAGTAGTGCCCGACCATCTGACACACAGGAGCAAGAGCTGCTGCGGGCGTATCGTGCGGCCCAGCCCCCCTCCTAGTGAGTGTGAGAGCGCCCGAGCGGCTGGCGGTGGGGGTGCCCGAGGCAGTGTCGGTGCTTCGAGGAGGTCTCGGCATCTGATCTCGCGATCTGGCAGAGCCAGATCATGACACGTGACATGCGCCTAACGAAATGCCACGACGCAGCTGGCTACAGGCCGCACCCCCAAAAAGTGCCGGAGAAACATGCACGCAGCAAACTCGAACGCATGCCGAGGGCGGTACGCAACGTGGACGGCCTGCTGCTGCGATGAAACAGGGGTGAGAACACCGGAAACCCCAAACTGAGCATGCAGGAAGACGGGCAAGCAGGCAGGCAGGCAGGCAGGTAGGCACGCGAAGAGAGGGCGCAGAGAGGGCGCAGCAGCTCGCTCCCGACGGCAATGCGTGTCGCGTGGCACACGAGAGCAGCCGGCGGCGCCGCCCAGGTGAGGAAATCGAGGATGCACATGTCCTCGGATATGGAGACAATGGCGCGGCGCCATCGACCGCGCGGCTGGGGCGGTGGCGCCGCGCACGCGGCAATCCATCGCGCGCACATGCAAAAGGCAAAGCGACAGCCAGCGAGTTGGGTTCGTGTATCCGGAGGGCGCGGGCGGCAGGCAGAGGCGCTGTTCCAAGAACACAAATTGGTGAGGGGTCAAAGGCAGTGCGTGGTTGGCCGAAGGGCCGGAGGGCATATCTGTGCACAGCTGCGCGGTGGTCCGGCTGGCGTATGGGATCAAGAGCGCCGCCCGAACGTTGTGTATGCACATGCGCACGCCCCATCATGCCGGTCTAACGACCGCCCTCCGCACCCGGGAGGGGGCTGGCGAAGAACGCGCCCTTCCGCCGCAACGCCGAAACAGGGCCCCCATTGGCTGCAGCCGCGCGGCGAAGGCCGCGAGACGGCGCGGCGTGCGCAAGGGCGCGGGGAGATGGGGAGGCGCCTTGCTTTGCAGGCTTCAAGCTGGCGTCTGCGGCGCAGCGCCAGGCTTGGATCCCCGTGCGTGGCAGGCGGCGGCCCCGCGGTGTGGCCGAACAGAGGGTCGTGCCCCGAGTGATTTCAATGCGCGCATTGATTCCGGCAAGGGGCGCGACGGCATTGCGTGGGTAGTGTGCAGGGCCGTCTCGCCGGTCGTTGGCGCAAGGGTGGCCGGGCGAGCGGAGCAACAAGTGAGCATGAGGCGGGGCCAGGTGTGCAGAGCCTCTTTGGTGGAGGCCATGTCCCCACAACTACGTACCGTATCGAAATCAAATGTATTGTCACGACGAGGTACCAGGCACCCCCAGTGATTGCACACCACTGAAAGCCACCCAAGAAGCGACTTGCACTGCCAATGCTTTGGGAATCCCCGCTCACCCAAGCAAACCGAAACAAGCAGCCTTCATGGCTGCAAGTACTCTTTTTTCAACCACATGCAAACTAGTATCGAGGCCCGGCAAACAAGTTCCGGCTGTCCTGAGGGTTCGCAAGAGTGCTGCGGTAGGCAAGTGGTTCCAACCGAGGGGCGGCGCCACGCCGGCGTGCGCTGAGTCAGCCATCGCAACCGCCCAGCGCCGCCACCGCGGGCAGCGACGAGGAGGGAAACCGGGTCTCGCGTGCAGAGAGGAGGCGCAGGCTTTGAGGCCTTGGCGCACCGCCTGCCACCACCCATTCACCTCCTAAGTTCAAGTCGCAAAGATCTCAGGTCTCACATGAAGGATCGCGCGAAGATTGCCTCCTCAGATTCCACTGCCATTGTGGAGGACATCGTGCAGCGAAGACAGCAGCTCTCCAGCTTCCCCTCCTATCGCCCCTCCATCTTCGCTTTCGAAACCCTCCATGCTTCCAAGCAACGAAAGCGACGGCTCCCTCTGCCGCTGCGCGCCCGCGCCGCCCCCGCTGCTGCCGCCGCCCTGCTGCCCGCCCCGGCCGCGCGCCGCGCCAGCGG